GCGCAACCCGGCTATACACCAGCCAGGACACCCGCCCGCTCTCCGCGCCGCCTCCGACGCAGGTTTTCACATCTCCGTTCCAGGTTTTGGTTTTTTTTCCTGCAACGCAAACGCGTGGGACAAAACTCCTCTGTCCCAATCTGGATGCTCGCATTCAAAACGTCCCCAGTGGCAGAAGCTGGGTTTCGTCAGCCCCACGCCCAAGATACGTTTACGCGGCACTAACGAGGCGCAGATCTGGAATTTGCTGAAAGCTAGTCGGGAGACAGGGAAATTTATCCAAAAACAACTTTGGCAGCTTTTAGGAAAGAAAGAGGGTGCCGCACCAAAATATATTTAATTTTGGAAGATACTACAGGCTCTTCTGTATCATAAGCTGGGCTGGCTGGAGTCCAGAACGAGCTTAGGATACCGATTGACCGGCAAGCGGTTTTTTATATAAGCCGTGACTTGTGGCTGCATCTGCAAGCGCGAGCAGCCCTGCAGTGACGCTCTCTGCAAAGGGCCCTCAACAGGCTTCCCCGCTCACAGTCTACTGGATCCTAGAAAGACGTACAAGGAGGAATAACACTATGCATTTCTGGAAAAAATCAGTGCCAAAGTAAAATATGAAGGGAAAATCGTAAGTCTGGGAGCCTTCCCGTACTGCTGTACCTCGTTGTCAGATCAGCTAGAGAAAGCAGCTCGTTGGCATCAAACACACGAGGTTTGGCATCTTCTGGCCTGCAACAGCAGCAGGGGTCCGTGGACGAGGGCTGCTTTTAGAGCTGGCTCGCCCGCGGGGTGCCGGCACTGCCCGCTGCGGCGCTCGGCATGCGTGCACGTGCGTGCGTGCCAAGGGAGATGGCGAAAGGTGTCCCTCTCCGCAGGGCACGAGCCTTCTTTAGCCCCCAAAACGCTACAAACTGGACAAATGAAAAGAGCGTGTAATACGTATTCTTGAGGCCTAAGAATCTATTCGTTCCAGAATTACAAGCCTCCCAGCCTCCAAATTGCCTAAAGTACCTAAAAGTAGGAAGCATTTAATGACACTCAGAATAACTGATGGATTTCAGTCCATCTGTAATACTGGAACTTAATAATCGTCTCCGAGAGCCACATCCTCATTAACAAGTATGGACAAAAAGGTCAAGCTCAAAGCACACTGAACTCAATACTGCTTTAAATTTCTTTTGAGATGAATTTGAAAGAAAAGGCATTGAAAAACGCCGGCTAGACATTCTTCAGCAAGAAACCTTAAAAACGGAAGGAGCCCTCTCTCCGGTTTTGCTGCACCAAAGCATACACTCTGCCGTGTGCAGAAGGCAAGGCAGAAATACAGGACTGCCAAAAAAAAAAAAAACACCACACACACAGAGGAGACTCACCAGCCGGAGGGCTTTTTGGACCCTTCTGCTTTCTTTTCAGAGAAAAGGACACTTTCTTTCAACTTCATTTCATTCTAAAAACGTGAAAGGAAACATCAGTGTAACTAGTCAGATCAGTAAACACGTGTATTTACTTAATATTTACTCATTGTAAACAAAGAGTAAGACCTGAACTCTCAATCAGTGTAAAAGCACGCAGCTCTACTGATCCGACCCACTAAGTCGAAGGCAGCGTTAGAAGCAAGAGCCACGGTCACCACAACGTTGCTTTGCAGTTCTTCAATCATACCTCCGCTACTGAACTTATGTTGACTAAGGTTTGATCAACCCAACGTTTAATACAAAAAAGAGCAAAAGGTTGCAGCATCTACATGGCTTGCATAACTGTATAAAGCTTCCCACAAAAATCCATAAAATTATTGAAAACTTTACATTCATCAGATTTAAAGCCATGTATTTTTAACATATTCTGGCTGTAGAGAAAGCCATCAGTTTGCTTTCTAAGAAGTCAAAACTCAGCAAAATCAGTAGGCAACAGGCCTGAAATCCAAATAAAAATTTCCTTCAAAAGAGCACACATACCTCTTCTTGCCACTTTGGTGGACTTCATCCTGGACATTATATATGCTATAGAACATAGAGCGTGTTGAAACGATCTGCTTTCAAAACACCACAAGAATCTACAGAAATACCTCTCCTACACGTCTGCAAAACCATTATCTTCCTTCTGCCTTTTCCCTGCAGAACAGGGACAGAAAGCCCAAGAGTAAAGAACAACATGACAGCCCTGCATTTCACCATTAACTTTTAAATATGCTTTCATCGCCCTAAGATAGGCTGAACTGTAGCTTAATGGGGTTTTTGTAGTTTAAAGAAATGATGGATGAGAGCCTTACAGACTAAAACATCTTTCGAACCAAATGAAGCGCTCCATATATGAGCCAATATGGAGCTACTGAAGCAAAAACTACTTTCCAATAAGCACGAGTCCTCTGCGCAGATTTGCTCCAAGCAAAAAGCCACCCTCCCTGACCCTTCGTGCTAAAACGATACGAGTCGCCGACGAAATACCTACAGCTCAGGGAGAAATTAGACAAGATGCCGAGCACATGGATGCAAGTACGTTCAACTCAAACACCTTGGCTGCCCGCCGCCAGCCGTGGCCGCGCTCCCGCGTGACGGTCCCCCGTCTCCCAGGGCTGGGAGCTCCCGACCCAGGTGCGCCGGGGCACTTTGGTGCCGTGCAGCCCGCCGCGCTGAGCAGACCCCGGCGGAGGTCCCTCGAGTACAGCTGGTGCACGCCGTACGCGTTCGCACGCGGTCACGACTCCTGCTCCAGTCATGAACGACGTCTAAGCCGTCCAAACGGCAGAGTTGAGCCCAGGTCTGGACGGCCAGCACTGCCTGGGTCGGTTTAAGCCCCCCCTTGCCCGGACTTCTGTAGCTGCCCAACGAACGCCCTGCTCTACACGGGCAAGCGGCAGAAACGCAGGAGGAAGCTAGGGTTGCTCGGCTGCAGCGAGGGGCTGTGCGGCGCAGGACGTGGGGCAGCTTTGGAGGACAACCCTCCCGAAAACATGAACTGCACCTTTGAGGGAACTGGCCCCGAAACCTTCTAGTCAATAAAACCTTTTTTCTTCCCCAACGCCTCAAAACTGTACTTGAAAAACGCCTGCAGAGCAGTGCGAGGACATGTGGACGCGAGGAGCCCCCGGGAGGAGGCAGCTCCGGACACGGAGAGCAGGTGGTGAGCAGCCCTCGCACTTCTGTACTGTCCTCTCCGGCCTAAAGCAGGCTTGGCGCTGGTGGTGTCACACACTCACGGGATCAATTCAGGCAAAGAGATGCTAAATTGGCCCCCAAAATAATATTTTTAACCTGAACAACATGGTTCATGCTGGGCTGTGTGACCCAGCCAGCGGCAGCCACCTCCGAACCAACGCAGCAAGGTGTTTGAGGACACCGAGGGCAGGAAAGGGTGTCGAGGCGATTTCGGAGGATTTTGTGAGGAAAGGGGAAGAATGGCAGAAAACTGGAGGTATTCCTGAGCAAGGGGGGGAGCGTGGGAGGCACTGCTGGGAGGACACGAGAGGGAAGGGATTTGCTGGAGCAGGATGCAAATCCACAGCCAGCTACGCTTCCTGGGTGTGACTGCCATAAAGGGTTAAAGACAAGGGGCAGTTAAAAAAATACACTCACCACTTTATGGTTGTCATATTTCCTGTTCCAAAGTACATGTGCATTTGCAGAGGCCATTACTTCAATCAGGAAGGTCACAGCCATAAAACTAGAGAAGAAATGCAATGGGTATTGATTCTGGAATATTAAATGCTTCGTTCATCTACACCAACGGGGGCAAAACAGCCCCCGCACCCCCTGTTCATTCATCTCCGAGACAGCCAGCTAGGAATGAATTTGAGACTGTATCTAAATTTTTTTAACCAGAAATTGAGTAAAATACTAGCTGGATTTGCCTGGGTCTTTACCGCATACCAAGGTAAGCTCAGGGTAAATTCACGCAACTTCAGTAAACTCAAACAAGCTTAAGTGTAATGCAGAAAAGAGAGAAGGCCATTTACTAGCCTTTTCAAACAAAATCTGTGAAAATGCTCCATAAAATGGGATTTCTGTTACACCTGAACTGGAACTAAAACCAATTTTCCATTTTCTTTGATGTCCTTGATGCGAGGTCAAAGCCATTAGTGTAGATTTCAAGTTAGGGATTTCAGCC